GTAGCATACGAATTCACAGATGAACGATTTAAGATTGCAAAATGCACAGACATTTGGAACAAAGCATTTAGAGTAGCCTTAGAAGTTTGAACGATGTGCTTACTTAATATAGTTAAATGAAAAATACTTCATAATTCACAATTACTATCAATGGAACTTTGAATCTCTTCATGCCTGCATAATTGACAATTTGTGGTGTACTACAGCTAACTTTTACAGGAAAATGAAATCAGTAAATTTCTAAAATGGTCACGAGTTGATGTATCCTATCTATACAAGAATTATAAAATATCAAAGAGTTTTGTGAGAAGTTGAAAAGAACACTTTAAGTACAATATGAGATTTGTAGAGGAAACAAAAGTTATTGGGCCATATTTAAGATGCGCCTGAACTAAGTAAATGTATGTACAAAATGTTAGGATCAAAAGATGTCCAAAGTTTAAAATTACATTTTTTATTTACTCAGTGTTCACATACATATCCATGCGCTGCAAAAGGTTATGGGTTTGGTTCCACTGGAACTGCCCACCACTATCACTTGCTACTTACTTCACAGCCACAGTACGAAATACTTTTACCAATGGTTTTAAAGAAGCAGTATTTGCCGAAGTATTACAAGATTATCAGTAAGTTTTCATGTTAATTAGGAAGTACACCCTTTTTCTGCAATGTTAAAAATAACGTTTGGCAGATACTTAGAGAAAAAAGTGCTAGTAATTAACACAACTATACAATTGTAGAAAAAACTGTGTTTCATTTTGCAAAACATACTTTTTCGCTAATTCCATTGAGAATAGTTTTGTCTCAGAAATCATAAGTGAATCTAAAGCCTATTTTTACTTAGGAAGCTGATAGCAAACTAATTGGTTCAGAGCAGGTCGAGAAAAAGAAAAATTAGTTAAACTTTGCTTCTCAGGACTTTCTTCCACGGGATATATCTGGACTGCAATATCCGCTTCTAATCAGAGTGCATACATTTTTTTGTAACATTCTTGATTGGCAATATTTCTTAGTAACGTATATTCTCATATTGTGGTGGTACTGCAGCCGGTAAATAATTCAGAGTGAGGATAAAAAAGCGAATCGGGTAAAAGCCTCTGCACTTCCGCTAAACTTTAAGGATGCTCTATCGTATCCACTTGCAAGCGAGGATGGAAAAAGGAGTCAGATTTTAAAGCAATACAAACGGATGCAACATAAGGATTTCAGTTGCTCATTGCAACATATTGAGCGAAAAGCATTTGAAGAGAAGGAGAGGACAAAAAGCATGAATCTTAGAGATATTTTTCTTCTCAAAAATCAAATTTCAGCATCTATTTTTGAATATTGAAAGAATCACAAAATTGCGAGAACAGTCGAAAAATCTTAAGAAAGTAAAATTCTTCTATTCAGATCTCTGTTTTCTGAGGCCATAAAATGAATAATTATGTCAAAACATCTAGTTATCAGAGAAATACCTGAATAACTTCCTGATATTTCTATTTGAGTCGCCTACTGGCAAAGTGCTGTTCGGCATTATCCGAAATTCAAGCTCCTGCTATTTTCGAATTGTAAGATAATTCCCTCTAAAATACTCGCTGCACTTCATAAAATATACGATGGTTTACCGTAATGTCCTATTCCAGCTCTCTTTACAATTTACTCCGTTTCTATGGTATCAAATAGCGCTGAGTGCATTTGCGTCACTCCATGTGATATAAATAGCATCTCGATTGCGTAACATGCCAAGAAGTTTCTACAATCATCGACAAAGAAGCGTGAATACTCACTCCCCAAGCTCCATTGAAAATCTTCTTGGCGTCTCGTCTCAAATGATTCCAGTTATTTCTTCGCTGTATCCACTTCTGGAACGTTTCTGAGGAGACATTTGGGCCAGTGACATAGTTTTCGAGTACTGATGGGTTATCTCGTAGGTACTGCACGACACGTTCTTCAGTCAGTTCCGGCATTTTGTCGACCGGACCCTGAGTTGGAAAATGCTAATTTCTGCAGCGTAAGGGGCTCATTTTTTAATGGAAAAAAGACGTTTTTAGCTCTTTTTTAAAGGAAAGTTTCCTGTGGAAAATATTTTTTTCGATACTGGAAACTATAACGGAGAGATACCAAAGAGGGTCGACGATGATTAATATAGAGACGATTAGACGTAGCAGAGTTAGCCTAGAAGATTAGAAAAATCACTATCTCCTCTCATAAATCCGAGGATTAAGATTCGACAACCCACCTCTTTTTGCCTTCTTATGGGTGGGAACATCCGCTAGG